AGAACGACAGTAACAGCAGCAGCAGCCGCAGCAACAGCAACAGCCACAGCCACAGCCACAGCCACAGGAACAGCAACAGCAACAGCAACAGCAACAGCAACAGCAACAGCAACAGCAACAGCAACAGCTGCAACGAAAAAACAATCAATCAAAATAACAGTAGTAGTGATAATACTCGTCGTAGTCACCGTCTTCGTCGTCAGTGTGGCCAAACTCCCAACACCCGGACCCTGATGTCCGAAGTCAAGATGTGCCCGCCCCGAAAGCCCGCATCAACAATCGCCGCGTTGGCGTATAGCCGGGCCGTAAGGGCGCGGAAGCCTTGGTCCAAACATAGAAAGCACGAACAAAGGATAAGGATCCGAACCCTTCGCTGTTGCTGAATCCTCACCGGATCCAGCTTGTTGAGATAGTAAGCCACACCCAACTCCAAGCCTTACGTTGCAACTCAAAGCTGGATCATCCTCCGAAATGAAGCTCAGTCCAGCACTACTGCTGCTGTCGGCGCGTCATCAGCCAGCTCTTCAATCCCTGGCAGGGCTTCGGAAACAGAACCTCAACAACGGAGCTATACACCTCATGCCCAGCAGCCTGGAACTATGGCAAACTACTGTGGCGTTTTAGGTGGCCAGGGCTTCCCAGATGCTGCGGGCTAATTTAGAGACATTCTCGTGGCGGTTTCCGTGATGGTGGTCATGGGCATGGGAGTCGTCCTGCCGCTTCGAACTACTCCTGCATTGGTAACTGTAGTTGAAACTTCCTGTCACTACCTCCTGCCGAATTTCTGCTTCTTACTGCTAGTCGCTACAATTTCTATCCCCTGTTGCCACCCTAACTCGACGTACTACCAAGCAAGGAGGCTCAGAAGATGCCACTACAGCAACCAGGCAAAGCAAGAACTGTCACCGTCACTGTCAAAAACTTCTCCGGGCAGACGGCAAGTGGACTCTTCAGGACTCGGCGGGTCGAGCCGTGGGTGTCGGGGGTGCGGGAGTCCCTCAAGTTGAGATATCTCCCTGTGGATGACATGTGCTCGTTGACGTACCGTTAAATGTGATATCTCCTGTGGCCGCAGGCGTGCTAGATCTTGGGGAAGGTGCCGTCAGCACTGTTGGAGCAAATCAGACTTCTTGCGGTCTAGACATGTGGAATATACTACTGTGGCTGGGTTTGGAAGTCGTAAGCGAAAACATGGCCTGAGTTTCACGGGGCTCTCACGGCAAACCGAATCAGCTGAACACCAAGAGCCGTAAACTCTGCCAGGCATCAGCGCAGACCTGAATCCTCAAATCAAACAATTTGAAAACCCCACTACCCAAGGCCCATCAACAACACAATCCTGAGGCCGGAAAGGGCCACCCCTGTTGATGCTGAAAGACAGTGCAGCCATTGATTTACAAGAAGTGACCGCTGTCGAACTGGCCTACCATAACCTTGGTAAGTGCATAATGTATGCAATGACATTCACCATCGCCACAGCATAGAGCATCATTCTCATGCTCATAAGAAGACAAACAAGAGGAGTGGTAGTCCTCATGATCACAACTACATTCGCTCTCAAACGATGCACTTCCTAGGCGGATTCGCTCTTTGGCATCGGCGCATCGTCGCGAAGCCTGCGTCGCGCAACCTCCGAATGCTTGGGCTGGAGCAAACACTGCAAGACTGCAAGGGGGGGGCGGAGGGCGGGGGCGGTCTGAATCAGAAACATCTTCATGGTCCCATGGAAGACGTGGAAAGGCATCTACAGCGACGCCCACCCTTCGAACCAACTCCCCACCAAGGCTTGGGCCATGAGGTCGCCGTTGATCTGAGAGTTGCCGGGCGACAGGGACAGAGCTTGCTGGAATATCTTGACCTCAGGCGACGACAGCAGCTTCACGGTAGAGCCCTGTGGCACACCGTGCATGAAGCCCAGGCATGCAAAGCCATGGTGGCGGGGCACCGCGCGCCACTCTTTTGAGCTGTGTCGCGTCACATTCTTCGTGAGAATGCGATAAATAAAGCCTCATCGACCATAGGCAAGCACTTGTCCACTTCGTGGTAGCGCTGTCAGGCATCGGCTACGGCTACGGATCTGCAAACGTCTCCGGACTCCAGAGTCCAAATCGAAACAGTTTTACAGGTTGGGACTTCTGGATACAAAGGTCTGGTTGACTCTAGCCTCGGGTCAAGTACGATATCTGATGTTGCACCTGATCTCGTCTTGTCGAGCAGTTTGCCGGCTTACAGCTGTTCCAATCGAGAGCTTAGGGCTTAGACATAACCGGGCGGCTGTGCATACTGCAGGATATTGATTTCTACATGTTGCATTCGGGAGGGAGCATATTTGCCATTAGGCATGCAGAGAGGCGAGGGCGCATCAGGTAAAGTCCAGGACCTCCGGTGCCGTCAGCGGATTCATGTCTCTACCTGCCCGAGCACCAAGAGCAAAGCTTATCTTGACTCTGACCAGACAAAGCCCAAAAAACCCAATTCCTGAACCTCAAAGACATCGACCTAGTCATTCGCACGTGTCCGCATCTGTAGCTTCGCTCGCTAGTGTGTCTGCCGGTCGGGTCTGCAAGACTCTGTCCCAGGATACCCTGGATGATGCAGAGACGCCCGCACTTTTCCAGAGGACGTGTATGGTTGGGGGGGGGGGCAGGAACAAAACTCCAGGCCTGCTCTGAGCTCCTGGACCTCCTCCTCCAGCTTCTCGATGCGCTCCTGGAGCGCCTCCCCAAAAAGTTCAGAGTGGTGGGGCAGCGACGTGAAGTGGTTGAGCAGCAGCAGGTATCATTGAGTATAACGATGGCACTTCCAAATTCATTGCTTCGGTCCTGGCCGTGGCTATGCGGCTGTTGGCTTGCAAATGCTTCCGTTTCTGAGGGGGGACTCTGCCTTGACGCGGTACTCGAAGCGCTTGCAATGAAACCATGCCGAAGCCAGGCGGCCAGGCCTGTGTCTGCTTCTGCGAGTTGGCCTCCATTTCGCTGATTTTATCCTGTCAAGAATGGGACGGGCTGAAGGGCAGGAAGACAGTGCCCATTCCACTTCACCTGGGCATCTACCTGCTAGCCTGCCTACCTACCTCACCTCGTACCAACACAATTACGTACGAATCGAAGTCCAGTGTAGCAAGACGCCTGACGCTTCAGGAGATCTCTAGCCCTGGCAAACGGTCCCGACCCTGCAAGGACCTCAATAGTTGTCCCTTAAAGACCCTCTTGATCGCAAGCCCACCAGCAGAGCAGAGATGTGCATGCCAGCGTTCGCTTCCAAGTGTGTATGCATCTGCTTGGCCAGTACCTGCGGGAAATGTTCATCAATGCTCATCATCAACTGAAGAGGATTACTGGATCTTGAAAGTATCAGCAAGGCAAAGCAGGAGGGAAATGCGCACAAAGGTTAAGTTGATCAAAGTCCCAGCCCTTCAATTCGACTACTCTGAGGGTCTATCAGGCGTAGGATGACACCTCCTATCTGGTAAATAGAAAGCTTGGGCCGACATCCGACAAGCAGCTCTCTCGCCGCAGATCTTGCATATCAGGGACTTGGCTTCGCATTCGATCCTCAGCGAACAGGTCGGGAGCTGGAAGGCCAGTTGCCGTGGACCCGGGGAGGCCACGGCACTCTCGGGAAACGCTGTGAAGCGGACTTGAATTGCCAGGCCATGCTTCTGATGCTGTGGCATCAAATGGAGGCCAATGGCTCCGCCGCAGTCTTGGCAGCGAACCTGCGCCAGAATCGGCCAGAATCTGCACGACCTTGCCTAAACCGCCTCCGTCCTGCATCCCGAAACCCCAAAACCTCATCTGGAAAGCTCCTCAATACGAGTCGGTTGAGCACCGTCGTATTACTGCTGTCTTTCGGATCGCACGATGAGGGGCCGGGTGGTGCGTTAAAGACTTCGACTCGCCTTGCGGTGTGGACAGATCCGGAGGTGACTTCGCTTGTCAACCAGGGGAAAAGTCGCACAGCAGCCATTCGGGCACCTGAGCGATGCTGTCGATTTCTTCGGAGCTCTGGGGCAAAGAGTTGCCGGGAGTTGAAGTTCGATATCTTCCGGTTGGCGGATTTAAGTATTCGGCAAAGGCTCTTAGGGTTTCACTGCCACTGCCAACCCATAGCCCCATATCCTACCACAACTACCGCCACCATTACTAACCACCACCAGCACCACCACCACCAGCAGCACCACTAGCACCACTAGCACCGCCACCACTGCCATCAACACGACCCCCACCACCACCACCACCACCACCACCACCGCCACCACCGCCACCACTGCCACCACTGCCACCACCAGTGCTAACAGCATCAACATGAAATATCCTTTCCATCGCCATTACCCTCCCCATCGAAATCGCCGCAACCACCATCATCGTCGTCAGGATCATCACAAAAAGAACTGCCACCATCATTGCCTCCGACATCACTGTCACCGTTGTCAAATGCATGTTGTTCAGCACTAGTCAGTCTATTGTCGGCGGTTACATCATCACTACCACTACCATGGCGATCATCGGCCATGTCGCCACCATCATCACAACCATCACAATCCACATCCTCTTCAACATCATAGACCTTTGGCGTGATCATCATGCGCGGACTGGTTCAGGTCCAAACTAGTCCAGGACACTTGATCTTGAGGTTCATGATCTTCACCCGGTCTCTGTTCCTGGGCGGATATCGTCTCGAGCGACTCACTTCCTGCTCAACCTAGCTTCGAGGGCACTGGACCATGTATGGATCAGTAGAGACTTTGCCGCCACTCCCAGATGGCGAGTCTGCCGAGTGCCAACCGACGGGAACCTCTTAGTTTAAAGTTGCTAGGCCGCCTTTAATTGACTCACTCGCAAGACTATGCCATGACCTGCAACTACCGGATGAACTCAAGTTGTTGGGGCGCCATAGCCCGGCTGGAAAAATGGGGCTGACATAACCTTTCGATTTGAGCTCTGGAGCTCGTCTCGGCTGAGATTAGCTGCCATGCTCGACCGCCCTGGCTGTTTTCCCTGGCCCCTCCGCGATCATACCAAATTCCCGGGGCTGTTTTCTTGTTTGGGGGGTGGATATTGGCCCTTGGGGTTAAGGAAAAAAGCCCCGCCAAGACCAACGGGTATCCAGATGGTTGGCCAACAGTAAACCACTGGATCTTTTCCTTCGTACACACCTTGCGCCGGGTTTCGAAGGCTGGATTTCACCGCTCTGCCGGCAAACAGGGCACTCCTGGAGCGCTGCCAAACTAGCTGGTGATGCAACAAAAGGATTCGGGATCAAGTAGCTCAGTTCCAGCATCTGGCATGTGGATCAGGTGAAAAACTAGCTCACAGATTGCTGCCCTTGTTTTCGGTCAACTTGGCTGCCGTTCAGAACACAGATTTGGTGCAAATGCTTTTGCAAGATGCAGGCTTGGTCGGTCCATTCCTCGGGCCAGCTTCAACAACATGTTGTGTTTAACGACTGCTGGCACAAGCTCACCGCTGCTGTGCTTGTATTTTGGAGCTGACCCTGCTGAAAGGCCATCCTCTGAACTCGAGAACGCATCCCCGACTTGGTCAGCCTCCTTCTGGCCGTAGACCTTGTTCCAGCAAAGCTCGCAGAAGAGCTTCGTGCATGCCTGGCAGAGAAGGCCAAAGCATGCCTGTACCCGCACGCCGTTGCTTCTATCTCCTGTAGGTGGCTTACAAGTGTTTTGCTGAAAACCGCAGGCACCGTTCGCTTCAACCTGAGGCCGCTGCATCGTGGAAGACGGCAGCTCGGCAAACACATTTGCAGACGGGACATTCGTATTCCTGAGACGGCGAGAAACATGCTGAGTTTTCGACACGAAGATCGGAACATCACGCAGACACATGTGCAGTGTGCATGTGAATGTACGTATACCGTAGAGGCACCTGTGTGTTGTGCTTGCATCTGTGCGTATTACATATTTGACATACAACATAACATCATGTCTGATAAGATAATATATATATATATATGTATAATGTAACCCACAAAAAATGAAACCAAAAGGCCATAGTGGGCACGTATGCACGTATGTATGTATGTATATATGTATGTATGTATGTATGTATGTATGTATGTATGTATGTGTGTACGTACTGTATGCAATGTATGACATGCACACGATGTATGTAATGTATGTATGTGTCTACGTACGCATGTAGGATATAGATGCATTTGTGTTTGTGTGTATATATAATGTATGTATATGTATACGCACAGAAGTACGTATCTCTGTGTGTGTACTATGCTGCATGTGTCATGGCGTTTCCAACAATAGTTCTACAGCCTCTACCGATCTTGTACAACCAATCGCCAGGCTTTGCATGCTATACACTGACCTGAGGCCTGATGTGGGGGTTTCCGACAAAAGGGGACCCTAATATAGTACCCTAAATAGTAGGATCCTTATTATAAGGACCCCCAAATAAGGTACCCCTAATTTTCGGAAACTCCCATGTAGCTGTAACACCCACAACCCCGGTGAAAGCTCGCACCGCAAGCCCTTCCTCCCTTGGCCAGGGGGCCATCGCCTGATCCGGGCTCAGCCACCTCGGGTACCACACCCCAAAAAGAACCAGAACTAATTATCATGAACATGAATGATCTTCATCCAGTTGTCAAAAAATTGGCAGCATATACCCAGAATTGAAGCTGCAGCATGCTTATGTTTCGCACCATGTCATAGAGACTCAGGATCAGCATCTGACTTGCTGGCTTTCGGTTACGTCTCATGTGGCGACGAAGTGACGCGACGAGACTTCGTCCATACACTTCCTACCATCCCTACAGCCCGACGATGCAAGGCCGCATGGCTCCCTCAACAAGATGTGACGTCGGAATACCTTCGAAAGAGAACTGAATCGCTCGACCTGCAATACTCTGGACCAACAGGATTCCAGAACCTTGTACGAGTGCCTCTTCGAGGAAATGAGGCGTAGGGCCTCAAGGCTAGACGGGCTTTAGGGTTGTGCTACTACAGCAGATGGTACTACGAACCACCAGGCCGCTGCCTGCTAAGGTATTGCTAAGGTCGTAACATTCGCGAGAACTGAAGAGGATGACCCAAAGAACCAAGAAGAGCTCTGAGGCACTCCTCGTCATGCCCCTGGTCGAGTTCCTTTGTGGTGGTTCGGGGTGCTAGTGGACACAGAGCTCATTTTGGCGGTGGGAAGGGATGCATGTTCAGACTCGCTTGTACCGCCGCCAGACTCGTCAGAGCAAAAGAAAATCAAGCTTCGGCTGTGAAGCTGTAATCTGTAAACTAGGTGGAGAATCGAGGTCTGACCCATGCATCGGAGAAAAACCACATCACTCCCTCAACGATGCCCGTAGTCCGCCGTCAGTAGCAGTAGCAGTAGCAGTCGCGGTGGCAGTGGCAGTAGCAGTGGCAGCAGCAGTAGCAAAAGCTGGAGTAGCAGTAGTAGTAGGTAGCAGGAGTAGGAGTAGCAGCAGTAGTGTAGAAGGGTCGTCGTCGTCTCGTAGTCGTCGTCGTCGTGGTGCCGGTAGCAGTAGCGGTAGAAGCAGTCGACGTCGTCGTCGTCGTAGTAGCAGTAGTAGTAGCAGTCGTAGCAGTAGCATGCGCAGCCGTAGCCGTAGCCGTAGCAGTAGCTGTAGCTGTAACGGTAGCGGTGGTGGTAGCGGTATCACGATGGGCATAAAGCTCGGAAATGAAGGTGTGAAACGTCAGGAAGCTCCATCTGTGCCAGGACTCAGGCTCTGTCTCCTCGACGACATCGCCATCTTCGACTGCAAAGATTAGATCGTACCTGAGGGCTTTGAGTGACAGTAAGCCTCCGCTTGTGCATTTGCTTACAGTGGCTTCAGTCGTAGGCTTGAACCCGGTGTGGGCTGCGAAAGCAAACACTGCTTCGAGGGTTTGGCATCATCGATCGTGTCGGATCAAGGTTTGGCGCTCTGTGTATCTTGATTGGAGCAGACATTGGCGAAGATTAAACCTGAACACCATAGCTCCCGAAACTAGCAAAGCCTGAGGTGCCACCTTGCAATGCCAAAAACATGACTCACGAAATGTTTGCAAGCCTGATACATGTTACCTGTTGGGCTTGATCTCACACCTCAGCTCGTTAGTCACCTGTCAAAGTCCCAAAAGCTGCTTTCTCGACCAGGTTGCTTGCCCTCCGCGCCGACCCGATATGACTTCTTCTCACCATGATCCCACTGCACTTTGATCCAGCGAAGTGGCATGTCCTTGGATATCGGCCACCCGAGGTTTGGAAACCCAATTCCAGAGCAAACCTGAGGACTAAGAAGACTCGCAGCAGCAGTAGGAACGAATGGCACGGAGTTGAACGAATCTTTTTGGTGTTTAGGGTCAGAGATGTGAGAAACATAAAAGCACATGCTGCACCTACAGCGATGAGCACGGCAGAGTGATGCTGGATCACAGTATGGTTGAGACGAGCCGGGTGGCGAGTATCTTGGGGATCAAGTGATCACGATGATGAAAAGCCGACGACCTACAACGACAGAGACGACGACTCAGAAAGAACAACAACACAAAAACGCACCTCTACGACCGCCCTGATAGCGGTGGCAGTGGCGCCAGCGGCACAAGCACCATTCAGAATTCACGGCAACCATCACCATCACAACCCAAAGGTCCAAAGTGCAACTGCCAGAACTGGATGGAGAGGAGGGTTGGAGCCGGGTGGCCGGATCAGAGTCGACCACGGTGGTGCCCCAGTTTCCAGCACCTCCATCTTGGTTCCCCCACTTCCAGTCCTCGACAATACCGGCTGATGGAGTGTGGCGATGTCAATGGTATCTTAGTATCTTTCGTTTGGCGAGGTTTGAGCGGTGTTGATGTTTGAAGTTGCTGAAGGCTTCTGTACAAACACAACCGAAATTGGAAGGCCACGACTCCGGCCCCCTCCGCACCCGCACGCCGATGCGCTGCTCTTTGAGGACCACGTCCTCCCGAGAAAAGTCTGGAGGCTGGAGGGCTTACGCCTTTGGGGTTTCAACTCTCGTGGTACCGTCTTGACTCAGTTTTTCGCATAAAAGAGCAAAGCTTAGGATTCAGGCTTTTAAGTGGAGCGCCTGGAAGTTTGATTCGGCTCCCAGAGCTTTGTCGGGCTTCATGTTGCGAGTTGAGCCAACTGTCCCTGCCAGCATCTGGCCGACCGATGTCACCCGAGCCGACTTCTTCGTTCTGATGTCGACATTGCCGGTAGTTTCTGGAGCAGCTCATGCCGTCTTCAAAGGACACCTGCCGCCTAAACTGACAAGAACGCCCTCCATGTCAAGCGTGCATGATGCTGAGTGAGAGTATTTCAAGCATCAACTCACGTCATCACGCATCCTCCTTGGGAACGAAGGTCACTTGCCGGGCAGCAACGTTCAAGCAGGGGTTCTGACGCAACTCCTGAATGAAGCGGAGGCTTTCGGAGGAGTCTGCAAAATCAAGTTGCAGAGAAATAGAGTTGTCAGGTTGAGACGAACAAGAAAGCCTTGCTAAAATCTTCCCGCGTGTCGTAAGCGGCAAAGCGGATGCGAACGAAGCCCTCCGGAACTGTCTCCTGATTTGAGCTTTGTGCGAGGAGCTTGTGTTGATGTGTTGGACCGACTTGGCCTTTTGAAATTAGTCATCTTGCACACTGTCCGAAGCTACGACACTTCTTAATCTTCAGCCTGCAGCGGAAAACTCTCAGGACCTGAACTACCGAGGCTTCCCCTTTGCTCAAGGATCGTCGTTGCCATGGCCTGCACCGTTGAATCTCCAGCCAATCAAGACCTTCGAAGCGTTTGGGTTGTGGGAAGGGCTCCGGGTTTGATGCTCCTCACACAAAAAAACATATGCATACCCACATTCCACATCTAGAATGTAGATGTGTGACACGCGTCTGCCCATGTTGGCATTTTCGAAAAACTCTGCGGATACGGATGCCGATGATCCTGGCCCAGAAACTCCAACTCCGTTTTGCACGTCGAGCACATTGACATTGAGCCTTTGTTTCGAGGCGAAGATTTTGAAAGTGAGGGTCTGATAAACCGACCAGAGAACCCCTTTGCTACCATAAACTTGGAGCTACTCCGTATACCTGATCTCGGGAAAACATTGGCACCATGCGCTGTTGCGTGAGACCTGGGCGTTTGAGTCCGGCCCTGGGATCTCTGCTGGGCAGCGGCCAGCTCGCCTACTTCTTGTCCCGCTGGAAACGCTGAAGACGAGATGCGCCAGGTCAGCGTGCAGCTCGCTCCCTGCAAGGCAGGAACACTTGAGACAGCGTAAGCCCTCTGACTCTGCGCTGCAGGCCCGCAATTCACAACCGGCCTGACCTGCCGCAATACTAGACTCATGGTGCAGAACCTGGAAAGCATAATCCATACTGAAGCAGGAAGATTACTTCCTGTGTAGGGCGGTAAGGCATGATGGCTTCAGCCGGGTGCCTGAGATGATGGGCTGCGGGCTGCTTGATGCCTCCTGAGAATCCAGCCATGCTGTCGGGATGAAGCAACGAAACGCTCGAAGCAGAACCCGGAACTGAAGGCTTTGACTAACCTAGGAGAGGTTTGGGGTCACCGAGTGACGAAAGCCCGAATAGGCCAAGGCAGCCTGCAGGTGTCTCGAAAAGAATGTAAGTCGAAGACCAGTGAGCTTGTGACACTAAATTGCTATTGTCAGGACCACGAGAAACCATGCTCCTGTTGCTAACGGCAGTACTGCTTGTGCTGCTGCTGCTGCTGCTGCTGCTGCTGCTGCTGCTGCTGCTGCTGCTGCCGATGTTATGATTCTTGTCGTTCCCCTTTCTGTTTAAACGTTGCCCCGTGCTTCCGAGATGATTTCGAGAGCTGTGACGTTGAATATGGCTGTCGTGAGTACGTTGTCGTCTGCAGGCCCACAGCTGTTCAACCTCCTCCTCCTCCTCCTCCTCATCCTCTTCATCCTCGCAACAACAACAACAACAGCAGCAGCAACAACAACAACAACAACCACAACCAGCGGCCAGCAACCAGCAACTTCCAACCAGCAACCTCCAACCAGCAACCAGCAACCACCAACCAACCTACAACCCACAACCTACAAATTACAACCTACAAGCAACAAACAAGCAACAAACAACAACCACAAAAAACACATCAAGCATGGCAACCACAACAACCAACAACAACCAAAAACAACCACCAACAACCACCAGCAACCACCAACAACCAACAACCAGCAACCCCAACCACCACAACAAGCAGCCACCAACAACCACCAACAACAACAGCCACAGCCCCCAACAACAAGCAGCACAACCGCCAACAACCATCCACACCCCCACCAGCAACCAACAACAACCAATAACAACCACCAACACCCCCCCCAACAGCGGCCCACAACAACCAGAACAACAACCACGACAACACCAACAACAACCACCACGACGACAGCAACAACAACCACAAGCACAAGCAGGCACAAGCACAACAACAACGCCCACGACCACGACCACGACAACGACACCGAAACCGACCACCGACAACGACAGCGACAGCGGCAGCAAAAGCCACAGCGCCAGCGACAGCAACAGCCACAACCACAACCACACCCACAACCACAACAACTACTGCTGCTGCTACTACTGCTGCTACTGCTGCTGCTGCTGCTGCTGCTGCTACTACTACTACTACTACTGCTACTACTACTTCTACTACTACTACTACCACCTACTTACTACCTACTACTACTACTACTACTACTACTACTACTAGACTACTACTAGACTACTACTA